AGTCGTTACCTGCAATTAATAGTCATTGCTTCCATGAATATGAGAAACTTTCTGCAAGTGAACTGTATCTTGACACTGTTATGGAACTTCTGCAGAAAAGCATGAAATATTTGTGTGTTAAAGCTGCCATAATCAGATGATAATGATGAACAAGAAAGATCAGATTATGAATTTATGAGTTTTACTTTACGGGCATGGCAAGTGATCCTCATGTGAATGAACAAGAAAATTAATTAAATAAATAAAAATGTGGCCGGAGTGGAAAAAGGATTTATGTTAGGTTTGTAAGGATTTAGTCGCTTTAGATTATGTGGTAGATGTAGCGAGCTCGTCCTAAATTTATTAGGAGCCTAGTCTTTGTTTAATGTGTTTAGTTTGGTTTCAAACCCTCGCACGTTCTATTATGCACGAGGATTAGAGCTTGATATTTTAAAAATTAGGGTTATGCCAACCTTATTAAGAGAAGTACAGAATTTTTTTATATTATTTGTATCTTTATTCAATGAGAGATTTTATGTATTGATGTGTCACACACACAATAGTTACTTATTTGATCATGTTAATCTTGAAGTCTTTATGCTCATATGAGTGTTAGTTTGATCGAATTCCTCATTCGAGTTTCATGGACTCTAATATTATATTATATTAAGATCAATATTCCATCTTAAAACGTCAACTTATTAAAATGACTAACTCAAACTTTCCTATATTTTTTATCTTTTGTATCTTCATTCGTTACGATATCCCTTAATATAGCAATGTATCTTGGATGATCGACATAAGATGCTGATCAACAAATTGAACCAACAATTGTCCAAGTAAATATCGAAGGTGACATTGAGATTTTCAAAGGTTTTTATGAGTTCTTCCTTATTTCTGTGAACAATGATAGGGCATTTATGTACTTTTGAAGGATTTAAAACATGAACAATCACTTTTAACACCGTTATCTCAAGATACAAAGGAGGGTTTTCAACTCATCGTGGCCTCTCGAAAGTCCAAAAACGCCATTTCGAATCGAAGAAGGCTGACATTACTACAATAGATAGTTGACATTAAGTGGGCCATCACTCTTTTCGAATTAGGACTAGACGGCTAGACCTACGCCCACTCCTTGCCCTATCTGGAACATGTTCAAGGATTTGACATGGCGGGTAAAAGTGAAACATTGAACAGCAAATAACATAACAAGCAAATTTGTTTGTTGCTCAATAGTCTAACATTTCACACATCAAAGTAAAATGATTTGGTCAAATATTTACCCACAGTTGCTGAATCCAGAAGCTTTGTCATTCAATGCTTTTGGCTTGTCTTTTTCAGAAAGAGGGGAAAAAAAAAAAAAGAAAAATCAGAACGGCCGCTAAGTAAATTCTCTACACATATGAATGAAAAAACACTTTTTCCTTGTTTTTGATGATATGATCAATGAAGTACTGTGATTGAACTACTATAGAAGCTAAAGAAAAATATATAGGGTGTGTTTGAGCTTCTTATTTTTATTTATTTTTCTGTTTCATTATTTTTATCTAAACAAAGATCCTGTGATATTAACCACACGGTGAAGCTTTAATTATACTTTTCACCTTTTTTTTTTTTTTTTTACTTTAGATAATAGGAATTTTTGTCAAGTATTTTTACGATTTTTTATGCTTTTGAACGCTTAATCACGGTTTGAATTATTTGTAAACCATATTGACACCTAGAGGTAAAATATGTGTTACAGCTCTTAGAAATTTTGATAAAAGATAGAAATATCATTATGATCTATGTGATCGTGTTTTTCCTGTTTGTTATTCTTAAGGCATTTTTCTATATTCGCAATCTTCAGACATATAGGACATTCCTACGTGAAAATAGGTCTAACTTTATTTGATGGATATTATTAGATAATTTTGGAACATTGATTTTCAACACGAACGAATATTGTCAATCACAAAATTGTATAAATTAATTAAAGTGAATATGTGAAATGGAATTGTATACCATTAACAATTAGAATTTTAAGTTTTCTTTAGGTTAGTTTTGGTTAACATCAACCTTCACAATTTATAATTCAAATAAACTTAGGTATAACTTGATTTTTTGACCAAATATATAATTCTCGTGTAAACGACAACTTATTCACATTATATTTCACGCTATTATATTTTCCTTAAATTTATTTGATGTTATCTAATCATCTATATCAGCAATGCACTTTCCAAATTATTCTGGTTTACTATTTCTGTATATTTTATTTGTGTTCGTGTTCGTGTTCGTATGTTGGATTTAACTCTACTGCAATCAAAAGTTGCACTTACTTTTCGTCTGCATTGATGATTTGACTCGACTTCTACTTTAATATTTTTTGTATGTGTAATTTAATTTCTCAATAAAACACTATGAGTTCACGTCGACGAATCATTCTCCGAATATATATACACACACACGTGGGTGTGTTTTTCTTATAACCACAGAACTTGTATAGATTATATGAAAAAGGCCGTTTAACTTTTCCCAACTGAAAGTGATTGTCGGCAGTTAAAAGTTCACTGATTAAATCTAAAATCAAGATATGACAGGATCACTAACGGGTCGATCCACGAACACGTAATGGATGCACCATATACAGACACATTAGGGTCCGGACATATTTCAGATTTGAACATTGCTAGGTGGCTTAATGTTGGTGATTATTGCAATTGCCCAACAGAAAATGAACAAATTGCTAATGAATCAAATGTGGGACGGACATTTGATGAAAGTGTCACATTCGCCATGAAAGCAATAGGTTATTGGATGATTATACAATTATTATTTCACCGAAACGAAAAAAAAATAATAATAATTATATTAAGTACATGTTTGTTTTTCATTTTTTAAAATTTATTTTTCTATTTAATTTATTTTTAATCACATATCTCATGGAATTCACTACTTTTATCAACTTTTATCAAAATCTATTAAAAATCCGATTTTATTCTAAATCAAATAGAGGCTAAGTATCGTAACATCTTTTAAATTTTTATGATAATTATTATCTTCTTTGAAGTATGATCGTGTAATTTGCAGCTATATGAAGAAATTTTCTCCTTGTAATATTTAGATAAAAATACGAGCACTCATTATTTTATTTTTATTTTTTAATATTGAAAAAGCAAAGAAGAATGGCACTACTCTCCTTTTCCCCTTATCATATGGCTTAAAGGTGTACAACAAGTCAAGCTAAATCGATTGACCTAGCACTTTTAGAAAACACGAAGTGCACCACAGTTATTATTGATTATTTAATTTTTTTTAATTTTGAAAACTATTATTGCTCGAGAGTCAAGCTTACACAACAAGAATAGCATTAATAGTCCCAAATCATAGGACCAAGCCAAATAAGAGTTTTGCCATTCAAATAGGGCCAATGATAGGTCCTGTTGACAGATTGAGGTATTGATTGTTAAGATCAAGGGCCGAGGCTTCGGCCTTGTATTTAAACCCGGGATTTAATCACGATTTTTGTAGCAACTTTGGCCGAATAATTTGGATTAGAATTTAAAAATATCCAATCCACCTTTACACCTCTAATATGATTATATAATTTTATATAAATATATACATGTTTATGTGTATATACACATTTATACATATATAAGCCTCGAAAAGGCACGATACTAGCTATTGAACAAACATTAGCTCGTATTTTTAATATAGTATGCATATCATTTATATATTTTTCATTTTATTGCTCTAAAATTCACCCACCCACCCAACCATTTGCAAAGAAAAATCTTATGCCACTGAAGGTGGGAAAAATACTTCTATTATTTGGAAAAATTCTCCTTTTTTTTTTAATTCACTTTATTTTACCAAACAAGAAACCATCTTGTCACATTTATGTAGAAGCTCATGCAAAATATATTATTCAAAATTCTAGGCATTCCCCCTCCATGGAAATGAACCCATTGCTGGAAGTCTTTATGTTGTCTAAAATATCTTCTCTATTGGACCAACTAAAAAATTGGCCACAAGCAATCAAACATTTTCACATTGTAAAAAAGCCCCTAGTGATTATAGTTTATTTATTAAGGACAAGTTTGCAAATATTAAATGACAATTTAAGATAATATTAAACGATAGTATTCCATTTTTATGGCTTGATAGCACACCGATCTTGACATTGCTTCCTCATGCAATAAAATATAAAATAAGCCTTACTCTACCAATAAAATTTTATAAGATCTCCAATATATGGATACAAAGATTTGGAATTATAAAAACGAGAAATCTTTTAAACATTATGTTAAGCAACGATAACATGGCACGTCAATTAATTAGTGAATAAGCTCGTGATAGTTCCCATGAATTAAATAATTCATCAACTAATTGGTGTGAAATATTGTTCATGCTTAGCATACGATGCTTGGTAGATAATTTCTCTAATAAAAATAGGCACCATGATATTTATTAATCCTTATTCATTTCTTGATTATACCTTGATAGAAGCCAAAATTGATGTTCACATGGTTCACAAAGGGAAAGTAAAGTGGAAGAGTGTTGGGTACGATCTCGAAACATATTAAGGTGTTATCATTTTCAATAATATCAACGCGTATCATTTTCAATAATATCAACGCGTACTTTTCAGCCAAGATCGACAAGTTTTAAGTTCTAAACCTTGGCAGGAGGTGAATAACATAAGAGAAGATTGTCCTCTCGTTAGCGCAAGGGAAAGAATTACCTCTTTCACAATGGTTCTAGCATGATAAGAGATAGATGCACAGTTTCACATAGATAGATATCAATTTTGAAATTAATGAGAGGTTGCGTGGTACCATAAGAGGGGACCCCGTTTGCACCACAAGGTCTAGCAGAATGACCCATTTCTTCAATTGGTCCCTTCTCCACCCAAGTCCACCCTACCCTACCCTACCCTACCCTACCCTATCCTACCCTACCCCACCTCTTTTACCTCAGTCTTACAAATGTTGTATGAGTCATTGGGAAATGATAGATATAAGGGTGTCCTTATACCTTCTGATATTATACATGTACTGCATATACATTCTTTCCATTTCTCTGCTAAATATTGTCAACGGCTCTTCTCCAAAACCTATTTTTCTCAATTCGTTTCTCTCTTTTGTATGAAAATCCCTGCAAGACATTGCAATTCGTACAGAATTTCTTGATGTAACTAATGTAAAATCATATGCACAAACAAGAACGCGCACTAAAACCCACAAAACTAGTTACACACTGTTCATCTTAACAATGAATACTGAGCCTAAGAATTCAGAAGCTGGTTTGATTAAAAAAATCCACGAAAACCCAGAAAATTCTGCAGAGTCTGGCAACAAGAAGATCAAGAGAAACCGAGAAAGTGCCACCAACGGAAAACATCCTGTCTACCGGGGAGTTCGAATGCGGAACTGGGGGAAATGGGTGTCTGAAATTCGAGAGCCACGCAAGAAATCGCGTATATGGCTCGGAACGTTCCCTACACCAGAAATGGCTGCTCGTGCTCATGATGTAGCTGCTCTGAGCATTAAAGGCAACTCCGCCATACTGAATTTTCCGGAAATTGCAGCCGCCCTGCCGCGGCCAGTTTCACTTAGTCCACGAGATGTTCAGGCGGCGGCGGCTAAAGCAGCTGCGATGGAGAAGTTTGATTTGATAAAAAAGCCTTCATCTTCTTTGTCAAGTACTTTGTATTCATCATCATCATTGTCGTCTCTCGTTTCTGCTATAGATCTCTCAACAACTTCAGAAGAATTAAGTGAGATTGTGGAATTGCCTAGTCTTGGATCGTATTTCGACTCGCTGGAACTGAGGAATGATTTTGTTTATCTTGACAACGGGTGGTTTGACTTCGATCCTCCTCCACCGCAGTGGCTGAGCGGCGGCAATGGTGGTGGTGGTAGCGCTGCTGCTGATGATGAAAATTCAAGCTGCTTTGAATCTTCGATATGGAATTATTAGTGTTTGTACCTATCTTGGTTTGTCTTAAATTGTGTGTTTTAGGCAATTAGCCCTTTCCATTTTTCATTGAAGGGCTAAAGAAGCTTCTTCATCCCCCACCCCTCCAACTCTCTTTGTATGTTTTTGAACCTTTCCCATGAATCTAACCATACAGTTTCAGGGTCTCATAAAATTCCTCTATGGTTTGATGCATACAAATTACACTCACTAAACTCACTCTCTCCGCATGTATCCGTTTGGCCACCATTAAATTCCATTTCATTTTGCACTCTCCAATTTTCAACTACACAATCTTCCATAAAATAATATTACACCTAAATCGAAAAAATTTCTTTCTATTTTAACCACTCATTTTTCAAAAAATCACCATGCCACCCTTTTTTATTTTCACAAAATGGGGACCAAACGGGGATTACAAATATGATACACGGCAATAAGGTAAAGACAGAGTCAACAAAGAGTAACCGATCTAAACATGTTATCTTCATAAAACACATCGGTCCAGTCATCCAAAATGTTTGGTTATAAATTCTTTATAGCAAGTTATGATGGAGAATCAATGAAAGTGACCAATATTTCCTAAAAGGGCAAACAGTTTCCTCTTCGTCTTTTTTCTCCAACTCTTTACCTAATTTGCACTCGAAAACTTTTGGCATACGTTAAAATGTAAAGCCACTTTATTATTTAACAAGTTCTTTTTCCCCTTTTGGGAATAATTCGAGTAATGCTAGCAATTGCATGAAATCAAACGATAAATTCATTTAAATGCATTGCCACATAATTCATTTTGTTGAACATATCAAGTGTGATCATCTAAACTGATATTAAATAATATTATTCATTCATATTTGACTTAATATCGAAGTAAGTCAAATCGAAGTTGAGTAAATTTTTATATTTAAATATGCTAGAATTTGTTGCTTTTCTTTTATTTGGAAGTATAAAAAGGTTATTAATTTGAACAACATAATAGTAATAAGTATTAACCTTCAATATAACTAAGTAATTTATTTTTAGTTGTGAACAACACTCACTTATTTTAAAAGTTATTTATTTATGAGTAAACTCTTTAAGCTTAGCCAAACATACACTAGCCACCTGTAATCAGAGAATTTGTCTAATAAAAAAAAATATCACATTGAATGCAATTTATTGAATAATTATATCCTTGTTAAACCCACGTTGGTCAAGATTTGAGGATTTTTCTGCTTTCCGAAAGTAGAAAGAAGTACTTATTGGATAAATACATGTTTGGTTATGGTCAAAGAAGTGCTATTTGAAAAACATAAAAAAATAAAAAATTCTTAAATTGTTTATAGCTTTTGTGATGACACTCAACGTATGTTCACTGTTCAGTTTATACACGAGGTTGAAATAAAACTTTTATATATATTCCCACAAACTATTAGGAAAATACATAGACAAGTTCATCGATTGAATATATCAATAATGTGGGTATGTAGGAGAATAATCAAAGAATATTTCCATATTAATATTGATAAAAGATTCTTGAAATAATTCATGAGGTTGTGAAGTTGTCATTTGTCTTTGTTTAATAGTTATACATAGTGGACTATTTGAAAATCAATATTCTTAGAATTTCATTACCTGTTTGAACTTTAGACAAATGAATTTATATGATGACTTTTCTATGCTCTAATACCAAATTGATAACTTAAAAGAGTGGCTCTCGTCCTTATATGTTTATTAACTATTATCTTCGTATTTAAAAGATAGAATTTAGGAGTTTTACCCCTTAACATCTAATAGACGTAGTTATATAGACTGTTTGGAATTGTAAAATACACACATATATATGTGTGTGTGTGGTCAATTTTATATTTATTGAATGTAAAAGACTAACGACGAATTCCAAAAGCTAGATAATATTTCTAATAATTATTCTATGATGAGTTCGTGGTTCCGTTACACGTGAAAAGTCATTTTATAACTAGAAGAAAAAACCCCCATAAGTGAACTTTTTCCTTTTATTTCTTCCTCTAATTTGTTGTGTATTTCATAAAAAACCGAGTTGGGATTTATCCTCTTAACACACTTGACGAAATATGGTAATTCAATGGTGTACAATCGGTTTAGATACATAACGATTGTCATTAATGGTGGGTCAACCTATGTTTGTGTGTCTATATATAGACGAACACATTTTCTTCATTTCTTCACAGACAAAAAACCCTTTCAGTCGAAATTACATTATCTTCTGGTGACCTGAAAACAGCCATATACCGTGCAGTATGCATGTGGGTTCACAGGTATTTACTGCTGCAAGCTGATAACTTTATTAATTGTGTGTGTAAAAAATAAGAAAGTTTCACTCTTTACACACAAGTTTATATATTCTTGAAGCCCACAAGTAGTAGATTTCTGCATTTCTTGTCCCCTCAAATAATTGAGCAATTTTCTACACAAAAACTTTGTAAACTGCATTTTCCTCTAAACGTATATCATATAAGTGCTATGCACTAGATCCAATCAACATTAGACATAAATACTTTTAATATATATTTGATGCATTGTGTGACAAATTTATTTAATTAATATTCAATTAAATAAAATAATAAAGTCCGTAGAATCAAATCTTGATAATTTGTTAATCATAAGAAGTTGTGGTTGTGATATATAAATTACATATGATTGAATCTTAAATCGTTCGTGGTCGTAAATAATAACAAGATATGGATATCGTTATTACGGATAGACTATCATGTGTGGTATTACTTACTTGTGAAGTAAATAGCTGATCTCCCAAGTTAAAGTGTGGTGACACTTAAATGAACACGTGGATGTTTTGTTATAAAATAAAACATTGGAGACCCGTCGAGAGATTCCACATAGATAACTATTCGAGTATCAGTGGTTAATCTCTAATGTTCGATAGTGAAATTGGTCCTTTGATTTGAGGTCGTCATGATGCCTTATATGAGGACAGTCATGCTTTGACGGTGTTGAATGTTGCTCTGCCAAAGGCCGCTAATACGGCATCGTTCGGATATGTCAAGAATCGTATGAACGTTGTGAATGATCCATAGAGATTTGTCACTCTTAAATAGTAAGAGATTATGATCTGCATTTTATTCAATTAAGTTGATAGCGAAATCCTTGGTCAATGTGTACTCATAAGTCGAAAATGAGTTTTTGACTTATATTGACTTAATAGTGGAGTGAAAGATATGATCGATAATTGAGATTGACACACTTCCATATCTTGTAATTGATCAGATCATATTGACGAAGGGATTATAGTTTCACAGTAAACGAACGAGTTTGATTTTGTCATACCACGTGACATTTTCCATCACATGTACTGCCTTGACATATTGCTAGATATCAATCTGAGACGGTGAGTGTGAATTGGTGATAAATTAAAAGGGTGTTTTAATTTATCAATTTTGATTAGATCAAAATAATAGTTCACGTCGTTAGATATCGTGATCGGGAACCTGATAGGTCGCACACAAAAGGGAAGATTGTGATTTGTCAATTAATTAATTTAACAAGCGTTGGGTAAATTAATTAATTGGGTTGTGATTACGCTCAAAGAATAATGCGGTAGTTGTAGTATAGTTTTGGGGTGTCGTATCCACAAGGAGATGCGAAAATAGTTCAAATGATCAAAAGTTAGGGTTTTCGTTGTGATCGTGAAAACATAGTTTACCAAATTAAAACGAGGTTTAAATATCAATGTGTGAAATAATGAAGCGCTGGAATTCACTCTTTCGGATTGGATCAATCACATCAATCATTCATGCATTTTACTCAACTAGAGGTTCTCATCCCAACTCTCTAGTTGAAGGATTTAACAATAAGGATCAATTAATTTTCAATTGTAATTCTATACTCTAGATTTTCTATACCATATTTCCATTCTTGTTTATTGGACTAAGATTAAGAATCGATCCTGTACGTAAAGCATAAAACAGTAAATAATCCACCAACAGCATTGTATGAAATTGAAATTCAACACTTAGTTTAATTCCACAATAGAAGAAACATGATTAAATCTTGTAAAAGTTAAACCGACTTCATAAATAAAATCATGAAAAGAAAGTCTAAACTAGAATTATTTGACAATAAAGCATTAAATTACATAAATGAAAGATATGAAATCACCGAATCCGATGAGTTTATCCCTTGCTTCACCAAAGATTTCTAACCTTCCATGAAGTTTCTTCACCCAAAATGAGAGAAAATTGATGTGGAGAGGAAGAAGAATGGCGTTCTCCCTCGAATTATGGTTTAAAATCGTGTGAAAACCGCATTTCCTTAAGTTGTTGCATCAAATTAGGAAATTGAAGATTTGGGAACCATAATGAATCATGCGTACGCATGGCTATAATGGTGCGTACGCACAATAGACTTGTTTAGGATTCAGTTGTAGATTTTTAGAGTCTCGTATACGCAAGGCCTGCAGGCCTATGCGTACGCATAGTATATATATTTCTCCGCCCGACAGATTTTATTATTTTGGCCATAACTTTTCCTCCTGATATCCGATTGAGGTGATTCAAGTTGTGTTGGAAAGAAAACTCAAAGGGCTACAACTTTTCTTCAAATGTCATCTTCCAGTTCGATCGTATGTCATGTCAGAATTTATCTCATAAATAGGGAGCCGTCCTTAGACTTTGTTATTATCATCAAAAATAGAGAAAGAAAAACTAGAAAAGATATGAGTGCGATTTTCTCATATAAATCTTCTTTCTCATTATAGTGAATTACTGTAGCGATGGGAGAGGATGTAATTTGACATTCGCATCCATAAATATTGCATGTTCTTGAGTGTTCATATTTTCTTTCTTCAAATTGATTGCTCTCGATAAAATAGAATTAGTGTTTATAATTCTCAATAGTAACTATCACAAGATCAACTTTGTTCCCCCAAAACCATGAAACCACCTTCCACATGCCCTCAGCTCGATGCAACCGGTGGGTCATCCTTTAACTTAGTCATGCAGTCTGTAAGTCTCAAGCAATCTATATCAGCTTGAATTTTTTTCATCCTCTAACTTAGATTTATTAAGTTACGCAAGTCTCCTTATCCAGATCTGGATAAAACTCCACACATGAAGTCTTCCATGGTATGTAAAACTTGGAATTAATTTTCCTTGGATTAAATGCACTGTAGGTCACCCAACATTGAACGAAGGAGTATCGTTGGGTTTTTGATACCCAATAAATCTCGGGTTATGATGTTAACATGGGTTAA